CCCCAAAACCCCAAAACCCCAAAACCCCAAAACCCCTGCATTCATAGCTATGATTGAAACACAAACTGTTTTCACAAAGAGTTAATTTTGAGTAAGTTGCTTAAAATCTATTTTTGATGCTCTAAACTGATGCAAAGTTCGATAAATTATGTGTGTCCGATGTGGACTTTTCTAGCCCCAAATCTAGCACTTTTTGTTATCCTCGAACCTGGTAGTATATTAGAAGTGCTTTGGCTACTGATATAGCTTGATTTTGAAGCTGCTAGATTGCTATTTTCTTCTCTGGACAAGTAGGACTTGTAATTAACTATAAAATTATGGAAATTTTTACTTTTCTTCTTAATTCCAGCTACGAAATCTCTTCCAAAGTGCGGCCTTATGTCTGAAAATGAGCTGTGGAAATTCAGTGAGGATTTAGACCCGCTCATTCTTGCCTTCAGAGGTATAAAATTCTTTTGCTTTGGGTGAAAAGATTTAAGTTTAGACGATTTTTGATTAAAAATATTTCTATTTTCTTCAAAATCATCACAATCTTTTGCATCTTTGGCAATCTTAAATGGCTCCTTTTGAGATTTACTGAGGTAACTGCTCTTACGATTTGTAGGAATGTATCTCTGATTTATACTTATTTTTAGAGGTGGGGTTTCCCTCGGGTCCTCTAAGGCATACTTCTTAAATGTATAAATCTTTGTGCTGTATTTCTGAGATCCAAGAGAATGTTTGCCTCTCAATTTCATGATATCCCTCTCTTCTTCCTTCTGTCTGTTATTTTGTAGGCTAAAAATTAGGAAATGGGATTACTATTCTTCTGTTTTTAAGCTAAAATTGGTCTGAGATTTCCCATTTCGATCACTAGATGTATGTACTTGTGGGGAGAAAGTGGCTCTTCCAGAACTGTCTCCTGAAGGTTTGGGAATTCTTTTCCCAAACCTCTTCCTTATAGTTGAGAGGTATTTCTCATCATCTTTCGCCTTTTTCTTATGAGCCGGGGACTCATACTTGTTTGGTGATTTTCCTGGACTAGAGTCCTCGATATTCTTCTGTATTTTCTTGCTAATTTGTTTAATAGATCTTTTTAAGTCATTTGGAGAAGAAAATTTTGCTAAAATCCTTGAATTTTTCTTGCTTGGTTTATTCCTAACTATTTTAGACTCTTCTAAACCAAATTTAAGCTTTCCGGCTTACCCTCGTTGGTTTCAAGAACGTAGTACTCACTAGGTGGTTCAACAGATGCTTTCTCCTTCAGGAAATGATTAAATTTGGATTTCATGAGGTCTAAATTTTAGTAAAGGGAACATACTCTGAGAAGTTCTGTTCTTTGAGTTTCTGTATTTTCGATTGACTCAAGCTTTCCCATTCGCGTTTAAATCAGCATGGCGTTTCTCCAGAGTCCTATGTCAAAATTACTCTATTCTTATTACCTCCAGGTGTCCCATTTAGATTTATTTCTGTGACGATATGTGGCCGTTCTTGGATGGTAAGGTTAACTTTTGATGCGATCTAGCTATATAAATCCAATCAAGAATGATACATAAACCTAATGAAAATTTATGCTTTTGCTAATCTGGAGAAGGGGCTGAACTGTTCGTCCTTAGTTTTAGGCTTTTCGAGGGTAATTAGCTTGCCAAAAATGGTAAATTTTATTCTAAATTTGTAAAATTTTACCTTTATCCTTGCTTGAATTTGAGTTTTGGCAGACTTCTTCTGATGAAGGACTTGTAAGAGCAATCTGGACATGCTTTAATTTTCGTGTAGTTTTGGCAACAGAATAATTCTTGTTTGAATAGTATGATTTAGTGAAATATCTCGGCTTTTTGGACGCACTCATTTTGGAAATAAAAATAAATTATAACTCCAATGTTTTTATTAGGATAGGGGTTTTGGGGTTTTGGGGTTTTGGGGTTTTGGGG